TAGTAGAGACAGGGTTTCACCATGTTGGCCAGGCTGGTCTAGAACTCCTGGCCTCAAGTGATCCACCCACCTTGGCCTCCCAAGGTGCTAGGATTACAGTTGTGAGCCACCATGCCCAGCCTCTTCTCTGGTTCTTTTTGTGCATATATTCCAAGTTGTGAGTAAAAGTGTAACTGTAATTTATTTTAGGTCTCGGCCTCCTTGAAGATGAATAGTGTGGTACTATTTTGAAGTAGTATAAGAAACCTACATGCTAAAATACCTCCAGTATGTACTTCTGTGATATCTGAATTTCCACCATTAGAATCACTGAGCTTAAAGTATTATGCTAAGATGATTATTTTAAGTTCTATTTATTCATATAATATAAAAAACTTAGTTTTTAAGATTATTACCTTTATTAACATATCAGCCACAATTTATCAACTAACCTTGGGTATATTTTAGGTAGTAAAGAATAGGATTTTGAAGAATCAGAATTCTGGTAAGTTTTGGCTAAGGAAAGGGAGGGTTGACTCAGGCCAGAACATCTGGCCAGTAGGTGGACAGCAAATGGTTAATGGGCAAGGAGCCCAGGACAGAGACAAACTTCTTCTGACTCACAATTCAGCCTGATGCCAGTATTGATATGTACCCTGGGGTGCCTGAAAAATAGAATCAAAGCTTTTGTCTCTCCATCTGACACAGGGCAGAAGGATTTGAAGACAGTGACTTTAAAAGGGAATTATGGAGCATCCCAACAGATGTTTTCGTTTGCTTGTTTGTTTTTGTTTTTGTTTGAGACGGAGTTTCTCTCCATTGGCCAGGCTGGAGTGCAATGGTGTGATCTCGGCTCACTGCAACTTCTGCCTCCCAGGTTCAAGCAATTCTCCTGCCTCAGCCTCCTGAGTAGCTGGGATTACAGGTTTATGCCACTACGTCCGGCTAATTTTTGTATTTTCTTTTTAGAAGAGATGGGGTTTCACCATGTTGGCCAGGCTGGTCTCGAACTCCTGACCTCGTGATCCGCTTGCCCTAGCCTCCCAAAGTGCTGTGATTACAAGCATGAGCTACTGCCCCCAGCCACAGATGCTTCTTAACTTATAATGAGGTTATATTCCCAGTAAGCTCATCATGAATAGGAAATATCGTAAGCCAAAAGTGCATTTAATACACCTAACCTACCAAACTTTATAACTCAGTCAAATAATCATAACTTAACCAGGTCTTACCTTAAACATTCTGAGAACACTTTCATTAGCCTTCGCTTGGACAGAATAATCTGGCAACACAGTACATTGTAGAGTATCATGATCACATGGCTGACTAGGAGCTGTGGCTCACTGCTGCTGTCCAGCATTTCAAGAGAGTGCCATACTGCATATCACTAGGTATGAAAAGATCAAAATTCAAAGTATGGTTTCCACAGAATGCATATGTCTTTCACACTATTATAAAGTTGAAAAATTACAAGTCGAATTGTTGTAAGTCAAGAACTATCTATACCCTCTAGGGTATCCTGTACAGTTAGGATATCTGTATTTTGGAGATTACTTAAAATAGGAATGGTAATCTTGCTGTTTGATAGTTTTTATTTTCCTCTATTGAAAACAATGCATCTAAGGACAGAAACTGAGCTTGTTAATGTCTAAAATGTAATATACCTATTTTTCAAATATTCATAGGTTTTATGGTCGAAAGATGTTGTTCTTCATGATGTGTCATCCTAACTTTGAAAAAATGCTTGAAAAGTATGTCCCATCTAAAGATTTTCCATATATTAAGGAATCTGTTAGAAACCTACGACAAAAGGTATGTGGAAAAAGGTTGTTTTATGAAAGACTTTAAAAGCAAAGTTTATTTTTACATCAAGGTAAAGGATAGGAATAATTACTTATTTGATTATTTCTCTGTTAATCATTTGGAATATATCTACAATAGCATTTCAACAACTACAGTACTAAGTAGACATACATATTGTCAAGCTTTGGAAGTAAATGTTTATTGAATAGAAGCTTGATGTTTGGTAGAATATAATTTGGCTTATTGGAGTTATGAGACATGGGTTTGAATCACAGCTCTGACAGCAACTGTGTATCTTACACGTTTCTTTATTTCTTTAACTAGAATTCTCACTTTATAAAATGAGGATAATAATGTTTACCATTCTTAGTCCCTGCTTTATTTATCTTGTATGTTCCACTATTAGAGCTATTACCACACTGCAGAACATTTATAAGTAGCTCCTTGAGGGTAAGTGCCATGTCTTACTTGTCCTGGTAGATAATGGGAATTCAGTAATATCCATGAAATGAGTGAGAGAATATCAAATGAAATAAAATATAAAAAGTAATCTATATATTATTTTAAAAATATGTTTAATAATGTAAATGTTTTCTATTGTAATTTATGTCATTTCTCTCTGATAACCTTGGGCTAAGGACTCACTTATAAAGGAATAATATTACAAAGATATGTAACAATAGACATTTTGGAGCATATTTTTTCTGCCCATCGAGCTTGAAGATTTCAGCGTAATTATCATAGAGCTTATTAAAATAACCATGCAAAAAAAATTATCTGACTAAAATGAAGCAGATTGTATTTGTGAGTCTTTCTAATACAGGAAAGGTTTAAAGTAGTTCTTACCAAAATATTTATTCTCACACTCCTAATGTTGCATAGGAACAATAGTGTTCAGGTTTATAGACTAAGTCCATACGTTCTATATAGATTTTAAGCTTTAAGAAGAGTGGGTATAAAATATAGCATATTATTATTATTATTTTATTTTATTTATTTATTTATTTTTGAGACGGAGTTTCACTCTTGTGCCCAGGCTGGAGTGCAATGCTGCGATCTCAGCTCACCGAAACCTCCACCTCCTGGGTTCAAGTCATTCTCTTGCCTTAGCCTCCCAAGTAGTTAGGATTACAGGCATGTGCCACCATGCCCAGCTAATTTTGTATTTTTATTAGAGATGGGGTTTCTCCATGTTGGCGTGATCTTAGCTCACTGCAACCTTCACCTCCAGGTTCAAGCTATTCTCCTGCCTCAGCCTACTGAATAGCTAGGATTACAGTATCATACCCAGCTAATTTTTGTACTTTTAGTAGAGACAGGGTTTTCCCATCTTGGCCAGGCTGGTCTTGAACTCCTGAGCTCAGATGATCCACCCATCTCGGCCTCCCAAAGTGCTGGGATTACAGGCATGAGCCACCGCACCTGGCCCAAAATGCAGCATATTTTGAGTTTTTAACCAGTTTTCATAAGTCAATATATACTTTCCCATTAGTCACATATTTTGTTAATTTACTGCTAACTACAAGGTGTTTTATGTATCTCATACTCTTTAAAGCATAAGTATACCAGATTATTAAAATACTTTCCATCTTAAAAAATCAGTGATGGCTGCTTTGGAAATTAAATTGTGTAAGTTATTTCACTACTAGATTTAAAACTTGTTTTGTACTAATTTTATATTTTTTTGCAGGGTTTGGGAGAGCTACCATTGGATACTCCTTCAGCAAAAGGAAGACGATCTCATACTAGCAGTGTTGGAAATACAAGATCATCATCTGTTTCCAGAGATGCTTTCAATTCAGCTGAAAGGTATGATAATGTGATAGTCCTTATCATTAGAAAAATTAGTCCCTAGTTATAGTAGTCTCATTTGAATGTTTTCATAAACTACCCCAGGGGTATTTGCCAAAATGGAATCGAATATTAAAAGTTTAGAGGCTGGGCGCGGTGGCTCAAGCTTGTAATCCCAGCAGTTTGGGAGGCCAAGGCGGGTGGATCACGAGGTCAAGAGATTGAGACCATCCTGGTCAACATGGTGAAACCCCGTCTCTACTAAAAATACAAAAAAAAAATTAGCTGGGCATGGTGGTGTGTGCCTGTAATCCCAGCTACTCAGGAGGCTGAGGCAGGAGAATTGCCTGAACCCAGGAGGCGGAGGTTGCAGTGAGCCGAGATCGCACCATTGCACTCCAGCCTGGGTAACAGGAGTGAAACTCTGTCTCAAAAAAAAAAAAAAAAAAAAGTTTGGTAAGGATCTAGAAAGCTTGAGGTAATTAGATTTAATAAGGGAATTATATATATATATATATATTTTTTTTTTTTCCTGAGACAGAGTTTCATTCTTGTTGCCCAGGCTGGAGTACAATGGTGTGATCTCAGCTCACTGCATCCTCTGCCTCCCGGGTTCAAGTGATTCTCCTGCCTCAGCCTCCTGAGTAGCTGGGATTACAGGCATGTGCCACCACACCCAGCTAATTTTCGTATTTTTAGTAGAGACGGGGTTTCGCCATGTTGGCCAGGCTGGTCTCAAACTCCTGACCTCATGATCCGCCCACCTCGGCCTCCCAAAGAGCAATTTGCTTTTAGATGCACTAAATATTAGTAATGCTGTAGTGTTATTGAACTTGTAAATGTTAGGCCTATTTTGGACAAATCATTTAAAAATATATATATAACCTTTATTTTTTCCCCCGATTGTAAAAGTAATACATAATTATAGTTAAAGGAAAAAAAGATCCTTAGAAAATGAAAACATTACAGGGATTTAGAAAGCTAGGCATGGTGGCTCACCCCTGTAATCACAGCACTTTGGGAGGCTGAGGCAGGCAAAATTGCTTGAGCTCAGGAGTTTGAGAGAAACCTGGGCAACATGGCGAAACCCTGTCTCTACCAAAAAAAATACAAAAATTAGCTGGGCCTGGTGGTTTTTGCTACCTGTGCTTTCAGGGTTTTAGTCGTGAATTACTTACCTAGACCATTGTCCAGAAGGGTACTGCCTAGGTTTTCTTCTTGTAGTTTTGTAAATGTAGGTCCTACATTTAATCCATTTAGTTGATGTTTATATATAGTGAGATACTGTGTTTAATTCTGCTTATGGCAGTCTAATTTTTCCAGCACTGTTTATTGAAAAGGGTGCTCTTTCCTCCATGTATGTTCTTGTCATCTTTGTCAAAGATCAGTTGGTTGTAGATAAGTGGCTTTATTTCCGGGTTCTCAATTCTGTTCCATTGATTTATGTGTCTGTTTTTAGACAAGTACCATACTGTTTGGGTTTTATAGCCTTGTAATGTAATTTGAAACCAGGTAATATGATGCCTGTAGCATTGTTGGTTTTGCTTAAGATTGCTTTGGCTACTTGGGCTCTTTTTTTGTTCCAAAAAAAAAGGTGCAGTGAGCCACAAATTTTAGGATTGCTTTTTCTAATTCTGTGATAAATGATGTTTGTATTTTGATAGGGATTGCATTCAAACTGTAGACTGCTTTCGGCAGTATGGTCATGTTAATTATTCTGATCCATGAACCTGGGATATTTTTCCGTTCGTTTTTGTCATCTATAACTTCTTTCATCAGCATTTTTAGTTTTCCTTGTAGAGATCTTTCACCTCCTTGGTTAGAAATATACTTCTAGGTATTTTATTTCTTTTTTAGCAGTTATAAGTGGGATTGCCTTCTTGATTTGTTTCTCTGCTTATTCATTATTGGTGTATAGAAATACTACTGATTTTTTAAAGTTGATTTTGTATCCTGACACTTTACTGAATTCATTTATCAAATCTAAGTCTTTTGGTGGAGTCTTTGAAGTTTTCTAAATATCATATCATCAGCAAACAGGGATAACTTGACTTTTGCAGTTTGGGTGCCTTTTATTTTTTTTCTCTTGCTTGATTGCTTTGTCTAAGACCTAAGTACTGTGTTGAATAGAAGTGATGAAAGTGGGCATCTTTGACTTGTTCCAGTTCTTAGAGGGAATGCTTTGAACTTTCTCCTGTTTGATATGATGTCGGCTGTGGATTTACATATATATTTATTTATATATATGGCCTCTATTATGTTGAGGTATGTTCCTTCTATGCCTAGTTTGTTGAGGATTTTTACCATGAAGTGATGATGAATTTTATCAAATGCTTTTTCTGCTTCCTTTGAGATAATTTTATGGTTTTTGTCCTTAGCTCTGTTTGTGTGATGTACCGTATTTTTTTATTTGGGTGTGTTGAACCATCCTTGCATCCCTGGTATAAAACCCATTTGATTCTGACATTTTATCTTTTTGATGGGCTGTTGTTGCTATTATTTGGTTGAGGATTTTTACATCTATATTTATAGGGGATGTTAGTCTATAGCTTTCATCTTTTGTTGTGTCTTTGCCTTGTTTTGGTATCAGGGTGATACTGGCCTTATAGAATAATTTATTTTTTTATTTTTATTTTTTATTTTTTTTTTGAGACGGAGTTTCGCTCTTGTTACCCTGGCTGGAGTGCAATGGCGCGATCTCGGCTCACCGCAACCTCCGTCTCCTGGGTTCAGGCAATTCTCCTGCCTCAGCCTCCTGAGTAGCTGGGATT